CCGTAAAAAACAACAGATCTGTCTGAATTAAACAATACAGTACATTGAATGAACATTGTTAATGATGTATTAAGCTGTAATTAAAAGAATACACACAGCAATTGTACGTAATACTCGTAATGATTTTTGTCCGAATTTATTGCGTATCCGAAACGAGGGTCAGTAAAAAAAAAACTGTTATTTTCGCCTTACGAATCCTTGCAAAAACGACAAAAACACCGTTACTGGGTTGTTTGAAGTTAAAACAATGATAAAGTTTTTAAAATGTACGAAAAAAATAATGTTACCTTGTTTAAAATTGAATAATTTAACGTTTTTCTGTTTTGAATTAGTTTTGGTATCAAGTCCTCAATCTACGTCACATCCGGTAAGCGAAGATAACTCTGAATAGCTCACGATCGCTTATTTGGAAGAGTGTATAAACAAGTAATAATCGTAGCCACAAAAATAACACAAGTTCATTGTCGCAAAAAATATTACACTGATATATACGAAAGATTCTACGAAAAAAAGTACGAGACTGGATAAAATAAAATTTCCATAGAATATTTTTTGTGTTCGGTATTTTCATTTGACAAAAATACGAACGTACACGTTCATGTTAAATTTCCTGTTTCATTCCATTTCTTACCTTAACATCAGAAATGAAAACAGCTTTATTTACTGTTACAGTGTAACTCTTCTTCCAGTTTGAACCGTATTTCATAAGGGCGCTCTTCAACCCAAACGCCTTTAATCTGTAGTAAAAAATCCCTCCTGTATTAGAACCGACGATAAAACGCCTAGACACCAGTGTTAAACATATGAAAGTAAAGACAAAAAATGGGCAAAGTCGAAAAGAGCACAAGGGAGGTGATTTTAATGGACATTAATGCTGCATATCCATATAGTCCTCTTAGCATAAAATAGAAGCTTGATATGAAACAATTTAAAATTCAGTAGACTATTTCTCTTTCAGCAGAGTTAGAAGAGTCTGGATGCAAGCCTGTCAAATTTCATCTGAAAGGAGGAAATCATTTAGAAAAAATGACCAGAGAACTCTCCGCGACAGGGTTGCAAACATTCTGGGCGTTCCGCATGAAAATGTAATAATCATCGGCGTAGAACTTGTCGCGAGTTTATGCGTTACATTGTTGATTCCCAAAACATACGCCGATGTTTTTCAAAACATGTTGAAAGAAAATCTACAATTCGAAGAACTCACTGCTTTAAGCATTGATTGGATATGTATTGACGACCAAGAGTACAATTTAACAGGTATCATTCCAAACTTTACTGTGAAGATAATAATAATTAAACCATTATTTCTTCTACCAAGATAATACCATCTATTCAGCTTAACCACTTTGATATTAAAAATAGATGATACAAAAAAATATAAATGAATACATGTCAATTAACAAAGAAAGATAAAAACATAACAATTTGCAGTGCAACGTGATAATAAAAACAACCTTATTGCATAAATAATTGTGCTTACAAAAATAGACTTTTCACAAGAAAATTTCTTAAGTTATGACATAACGTTTATACATTTGCTTCCTGATAAATAATGTTTGTGTTGATATCGCACTTATAACTTTATTTTAGTTTGTGAAGAAAATCCTGTTTTTTAAAACACGTTGAAAAATCTTACTTAACATAAATTCAAACCATGTCATGTATTTTTTAAAGGAACCGATGAAATTAGCAAGGCAGAACAGCAAGAAAAAATTGTGAGTATTAAAGACCTATACAAAGAAAAGTCTCAACTTTTGGAGGAAACAGAATTACAAAATTTGGAATTGCAGAAAAATCTTGACGCAGTTAAACAAATGTTGGATATTGAGAAGAAACGTAGAATAGAATTAGAAAATCAATGTAAATTACAAAATAACGTCTACAAAAGATTTAAAAAAGAAGTTCTTGTCCATTAAATCCAAAGTTCAAAGAAATATGTCTCCAGAAAATAACAGAAAAACTACCGTCTTACTAATATTTTAAAATCTCTCTTCAAGAACATTATATGGGCGTTACGAAGGCTAAGATGTAGTGGAACAAAAATGCCTGTTTAGTGACAGTATTTAAGACGAAAGTAATGTCATTCTTGATTGCTATATGTACGATGACTTTCTACAATCTATATTTGATAAAGCTAAAACTATAGATAATGCATTTTTAAGAATGTCTAAAAATGAGCAATGAATATTTATGTTTCACTAAAACTGAAATGATACGTTCTTGTGCCAACACCTGTTTTAATATTCTATTTTCTATTTCTTTGTAAATGATGACATTGTGCTTGCCTTAAACATAATGTATTTTTACCTAAGTTTAGGTAATCACTGCTAATCAGTTTATGCAAGATCTTTTCTTGGATGATAAACGATCTTTTAATTTTTTTTTCTTATACGCGCGTTAGGGCTCCGTTACAGTTTTCAATTTTTTAATTAATCTTTTGAAGTTTTAAATTTTCGATTAGCGATGGTTACCTAACTTTATTATTCTGTTTATATACATTGCAATTGTACTCTATTCGATTCTAGTGTCTTGACTGATTTTATGACTCTTGAAATTTTGAAAAATATTAATGGTCGTATACATGTTTTATGTGAATATTTGTATATATTTATAAAAATGTACGTATACGAATGAGAGTAAAATGAAGTATGAATACATTATTTAGTTGAAAGATAACGGAATGTTCAAATTTAACTGGAGTGGTTACAAAACAGGGTTTTCGGGTGGGGGCTGAAATATGGATAGAAGATTTTGACAAAAACAAAAGAAAAACAGTGCTCATGTTTGGAGATTTGGCCAGCATCCTTTTCATATGACAAAATTTTAACTGAAGTCTTTTATAGCTCATCTTTATAAGTGGTAATGTATGTGTAAACTACTGTTTTGTAAATATTTAATAAAGACTGGAATTAAGAAAAATGAATCTGTATGGAGTGGGCCTGGGAGGGGTGTCCCCTCCCGTAGACAGAGAAATTTTTAAAATATTAGGTTGAAAATGGTGTAGTTTCCTTGACTATCTTGTGCTGTTGTATTTTGTATAGGCTAGTGTTTGCAGGGTCTTTAAAATAGAATTCCCCTGGTGTTTAGTAGTAAGCATTTACAAAATAACAGCATACTAACTAATGAATGCGCGACTGTCTAAAACTAGTTTCAAACACTCGATCAATTAACTCATCTGAATACATGTAATAGCTAGGCAAATTTCCAAAGTAAAGTGTAATTAAAATACTGCCTTTCTATTTTACAATAATAATAATAATATTTCAAACACTAATTTTCAATAAGAATTTTTAAATCAATGAATCCATTTTAGATATCAAAGAGGTCAGTATTTCTTTTAGATAAATTACTGCCATAAAAATTATTCAAAGCAAATAACCAATTATTCATTTTAATAAAAATGTAATTGTTAAAATGCGATTCCTTTAATAAATATTATCTTTATAAAACTCGCCACATTTTTAATTTACAAATCACAATTTACAATTTTTTAATTAAAGGGTTTCGACAAGAAAATGAAAAAACAAAGATAGTAAAATATAGTGTACTATGTAACACACCTATTTGCCACTATCTACGACTATTAATTTCATTAGACCTGGAAAAAAAACCCAATCAATTATGCATTTTTAACATTCAAGTCATTCAAGCATGTTGATAGATAAAGATCTCTGCCAAGCCCCCAGGCAGGAGATTAACAACTGGATGACAGTAAGCGAGTACACTGCAGCCAATAAAGTTTGAAACTGACAAAAATACATTCCATGCCAGCTGTTTAGCGTATCTTTGGGCCGACCTGGGGATATGGCTGCAGCCCCGAAGCCCGGGCCTGAATCCGCCACTGTTTAAATATTGTCTGCTCTGAAAAGAGACACGTGACAGTACAAGGCAATGTTGCGAACTGTGGTCCGGAACGCATGCAATCCGAGATCTTATCAAACATAGAGGGAAACGCATTATCTGTATGGTTTTGATATGTTTGGTTATTTGTGCACTTAAAATATAATTGATGTTATTATATGATCTAAATATAGCTGAATCTCATTGGTCCAAACATAAGTCGACAGAACTTTTACAAAACCATATTCACTCGGCGAAGTATCATATTTACTGGCTGAATTGGATTTTCCGAGTGAGACTCATATTTAATGACTATACACCGTAGACTGTAACTTACGCGCGCACATTAAAAGATAATTGTTGCGTTTTGTTCTTTATAACATATTTTTCGATTAAATTATCATTTCTTTACTATTATCCTTAAAGGCCACACCGCAATGACGAGTATAATCTTGAATAACTTTTGTATGCGCAGGGTTTGCGTAGTCCTTGCACTCCTGACACGTGCGTTCCCCCCCCCCCCGCGTTTCAACGAATCGGGCAAAAATTGTACATGTATAAGTTTGTACTTTCTTGTGATTTTTTTTCAAATCTTCGCCTATTCATATAATAAAAATAGTATTGACTAGTGTGCTATTGAATATTATACAATTATTGACTAGTGAGCCATTGAATATGATGTGATATTCACCGGCAGATGACATATTGACCGTGGCGATAGCCGAGGTCAATATGACTTTCTGCCGGTGAATATCACATCATATTCAATGGTTCACTAGTCAATAATTGTTTTATTATATGAATAGGCTAAGAAATTAAAAAAAAAATCACAAAAGTACAACCTTATAATTATACATGTACAAATTTTGCCGCGTTGAAGCGCGGGAAACAAGACGCACTTGTAAGGCGTGCAACGACTACGCGAACGCTGCGCATACAGAAATAATTCAAGTTTATACTCATTTTTGCGATGTAACCTTTTAGTATAATAGTAAAGTATTGATGTTTTTATCGAGAAATATGCCATAAAGAACAAAAAGCAACAATTATTTTTTAATTAACACGCGTAATTAACAGTCTACGATGTATGATCATTGAATATGAGTCTCAATCTATTTTTAGACTGGGAAAATCCAATTCAGCCAGTGAATATGATACTACACCCAGTAAATATGATTTTATAAAAAAGTTCTGTTGACTACTGTTTAAACCAATGAGATTGCAGCTATATTTAGATCATATAATAAGATGTGATATTCATCGGCAGAAAGTCATACTGACCTCGGCTATCGCCTCGGTCAATATGTCATCTGCCGGCAAATATCACATCATATTCAACGGCACACTTGTCAAAATATGTAAAGTCTATGATGACCAGTAAATCGATTTAAACTTCAGCCTGAATTATTTTTATAAAGAAACATTGTTACATTATTATATTATTATAATAATTAACAATTCTTGCCGTAGAAAAACTTGAAAAATATTTGAAAAAATTATTAAAACTTCATTATACAATTATTGACTAGTGAGCCATTTAATATGATGTGATATTCACCGGCAGATGACATATTGACCGAGGCGATAGCCGAGGTTAATATGACTTTCTGCTGGTGAATATCACATCATATTCAATGGTTTACTAGTCAATAATTGTTTTATTATATGAATAGGCTAAGAAATTAAAAAAATCACAAAAGTGCAACCTTATAATTATACATGTACAAATTTTGCCTCGTTGAAGCGCGGGAAGAAAGACGCACGTGTTAGGCGTGCAACGACTACGCGAACGCTGCGCATACAAAAATAATTCAAGTTTTGACTCATTATTGCGGTGTAACCCTTAAGTATGATAGTAAAGTATTGATATTTTAATTGAGAAATATGCCATAAAGAAAAAAAAGCAACAATTATTTTTTAATTAACACGCGTAATTAACAGTCTACGGCGTATGATCATTGAATATGAGTCTCAATCTATTTTAAGACTTGGAAAATCCAATTCAGCCAGTGAATATGATACTACACCCAGTAAATATGATTTTATAAAAAAGTTCTGTTGACTACTGTTTGGACCAATGAGATTGCAGCTATATTTAGATCATATAATAAACAGTAATATATACCGGTTTCTGAAAGTGCAATGTCAAAGAGCAATCATTCTGCTTTGCTTGATACGAGTATGTTCTCCCTTTATGATGCTTAAAAATAAAATGATAAATGATGGTTGTCCTGAGAATAACTTCTAAACTTTAAAGATATTTCATTCAAATCTTTAAAACTATTGTAGACATTTGATTAAAATTGCATACAGTGATAGTGATTGGCATGTAGAAGTGCAGGGTGCAAAAGCTATAATTCTCCTTGCTTACTGTATTAATTACGAGTCCCTTTATAACACTTTTTTATTACATGCTTTTCGGTGGTTTATAGAAATATATCAGTGATATAAAACTGGTAATTTCACTGTTTGAAACAGTGAAATTACCACTTTGATAATTTCACTGTTTTGAATTTAAGCCCCTTTCGTTGTTTCAGTGAAATTCCAGCGTGTTCAGTACTGGGTACCAACTTAATGACGTGACGTCGTAAATGACGTCACGTTATATTATTATTTGGCGCGCTTTTCATTCAGTATTTATTAATTTAGGTTTAATGTCTTTTTAAAACGTTTCTTTGCATGTAATAAAAAGAAAATTTGTTTAGTTTAGTGTAAGATCGAAATATATTTCACCTTGTGAACACCAAAAGTTCATATTTCACTCGTGGCTGTGCCACTCGTGAAATATACCTTTTGGTAATCACTCGGTGAAATATATTCCGATCTTACACTGAACTAAACAAATATCCTCTATTTGATATGAGAAAACTTCATAACTGTCAATAATAATATTTTATTGAAACTTCACTCGGTTATAGAAACTAGTAAGTGGAGGTATAGTGTTAAAGAGCAATAACTGTACATAACTTGGTTTTTTAATTATCTACCTTTATGATACCTTATTATGTTTGTCTGGGAAATAACTTAAAATGTATTTAAATTATTTCATTAACACATCACACATTAACAGAAACACCAGAAACAGGATGTGTTCCGTCTAAGATCCATAATACTACCTTTCTTGATTTTTTTATTATCTCCTTTTTTAAATACTCTATAATGCTAATTACACTTTCGATTATAATTAATAGCCTTTACTCATTGGCTGATGTATTTCATATCTGGGTGAAGTTTGGGAGTACTGCGGGTCACTGGTGTAAAAATTGTAAAAATGAGACTTTTACATTTTTTCTTTTACAAATTTTTATTTGAATACATTGACAAATGTGCTGGTTCTGGGAGCATTCATTCTATTCGGTATTTTCGTTCTCGTTGTTAACATCATTTAAGGAGAAAAATCTTTTCTATGCGCAAGTTTCTTTAATTAAATTACAGATTGTTCCATCTTCATTTAACTACTGCATTTGATTGTATATTTCAGTTCATGCCAACCAAAAAACTTACATAAATTATAGTCCTGACCAACTGGCGGTTTGTCCCATAAACCCACTTTATTTTCATTTGAATTCGAAATCCTTTATGTGTCCTATATTTTTTTATTTTAATAAAACCCAATAAAACTAAAATACCCCCAAAAATTCGCTTCAACTCTTTAAATTGCTTACTTCTTAACCATCAGATCTTGAG